AATCTTCATGCACGCTAAACTTTTCTAAAACAAACATAAAATCCAGGGCTTTTTCCAGGGTAAAACAGCTTGCACGTGAAAAAGCATTTTAGAAGGTGGAATAAACCTTAGTAGACTAGTAACCTCATTAGGTTGAGGCCCCAGACAAATGACTAGCAGGAGGAACCCAAGAACCCATGACTCAGTGACTCCCGATTAAGTGCTCTACTGCCCCATATAATTAGGAGGCAAATCTGTGCCAACGTAGGGTGAGACTGAGGAGGCGCTCGCAGGTGCTGATGACAGATGCATCCGGGAAAGGACGATTCTGGAGCTCGCTCAAGATGTCATAATTCTCACAAAAGGATTTAGGAGCCATGGGTTAGAAGACAGGTTAGCACTGCATATTGTAGAGTTTAACCTGATTTTATCCCTCTGCAATAGCCCCGCCCCCCAGGCCACTTCAAAAACATTAAAAGGAATTTAAATAAAAGTGACTTCACAACCCTAATTGGGCATATCCTGAGTGTCACAAGGTCGGGAATCATTTTTCTGAAGTGTGTCAGACGCGAGGACAGGACACAGTGGGCACAGACGCCTGGAGAACCTGCAGGGCAGGGCAGGGCAGGGCAGGGCTGTTTACTGCAGGCGGCTGTGGCTCCACAGACAGGGGACCCAAACACAGGGAGAGGGCGGCCGGGCAAGCTGGGCTGACAGTTCTTAGATGGAGTGAAGCAGGGCAACACCTATCTTTGAAAGGCAGAGGCAAAGGGACTTTGCCACAGACAAAGCCAGGGACTTTGGGCCACAGACAGCTGATGAGGGAAGGGAAGATAAGACATAAACATGGGGAAGAGGAAAAGAAATGAACACAGTATCATGGTGACTTGGGGGCTTTATAACGGGCAGCCACAGTTCTGTGGGAGACATTTTGGCTGTAGCTGGTGGCCGCTGGGCAGAAGGGCTTGGTAGCTTTGAAGTTCCATCAGAGGGGAAGTTTCCATTAGGGGCCAGGAAGGAACAAAAGGTGCATGTCCAGTCACCCTCCTCTGTATGAGTCTTGAGGGTCGGAGGTGGGGGCAGGGCTGGAGCAGAGCATGGTTTAGAGGTTTCTGGGTGCCCTGGGAAAACACCATCCTATATCAAGTTGACTGCACCCCATCCAGCTCCCCAGCACATCTCCTGCTTTAGCTCTTTAGTACTATCTCACACTCACTATGGCAAGGGAGGGCAGTCCTTCAGTTTCTCAAAAGTAATTACTACCTACATTAAAGCAAAACCAAAAGAAGAAACACAAGGTCAGGAATTTCCAGACGCGAAAATCTTGAAGTTTCACAAGTAACCAATAACCCATTTGCACCGCCTCTAAATCTGTTGAATAAGAATGAATCCCCCATCAACAAAAACAGCAGGATCTTTGGGGACACAGATATTTGTTGCCCATCATTTAATATGGGAGGGGCTAGAAGGTGGGGCTGCTGGGCCTAGCAGAAGCCAGTGCACGGAGCAGGATCTCTCAGTGGGAGAGGCATCCACTGGTATTTTTAATATTGATTGCTTTTCTCTGATTATATAAATAAATCCTCAATGTGGAAACATCCAGGTCTTCAGAAACAGGTCATGCAGAGTGAAAGAACTCCATCCCTCAGAGCTGATCACACCTGTGTTTTCTCTGACATTTACTTAAACTTAGCTAACATTTATTTAAAACAAGACTTTTTTAAAAAATGGGATTATACTATGTTTAACCCAGCAACTTGCCTTTCTTGCTCAAGATTTTATTTTGTCTAATGACCAAAAATTACTGTGTTTTCAAAAGGTTGCAGAATATTCCAAGGTATGAATAACTCACAGTTTGGAAAGACATGGAAAGATGTTTTTGAGATGGTTTTTCTTTGCAGAAACTCTTGCACATGTATCCTTGCACACATGTAATGGTATTTTTGGGTATGAAATCCTAGAAAAGGAGTTGCTCTAACATTTTTATTAGATTGTCCTTCAATTTTAAATGTTTAAGATTGGTCTATAGTTTGAAATGACACTGGCACAATTCTTTGCTGTGAGGTTTCTCAAACAGCCACATAGTCTAGTTTTTCTTCAATCCCTTTTTCAGAAGTCAGTGACAGTTTTCTGTCATATTTGCCATTTGTGGGGATTTTTTTTTTTTCCCCAAATGACATTAGCTTCAGCTACCCTTTTGGAATTTTGAGTAGGACTTATATAGTAAGAGATAAAAGACTCTTTTTTTTTTTATTACCCAAGTCTTCCTCTGCCTTTCATCTGTTGGAGTGACTATCACAGGTTGTTGCTCCTGGGACAATCACCAGCTATTGGCTGTAGGAGGCGGCATCTGCCCATCCGTCTACTAAGTGTATGGTTACCTTTCTAGCAGTTTCCCAGTATTTCTCAACATTAAACCTAAGTCACCAGTTCTGACCCTCTTAAGCAGCACTTCCATTTTGAGAGGGTGAAGAAGATAGAATTCCAAGAGTGAAATTCGGATAACAGCATCCTCCTGGGACTCCTAGTCTAAAGTGATTTTTACTTCCCCTGGACTTGGATTTTCAATTGTCTGTGCTGTTCATTAACTTGGTAATTACTCATGAACCTCCTTTGGACTTAAAAAGATACCAAAGTTAACCCACATAAGTGATTATATAAATCACATCACTACACTCTCCCTACTAGATTAAATGCTCCAGGGGAGGGAGGGAGGACTTTGGTTCATTCATGTTACCTGGCTTCTAGAGTAATACCTGGCATCTAAAAGGTGATCAATATGTATTTGTCATGTGATACTAACTTGTTTGAAGACAGGAATCTTCTTATGTTTTGTATCCCCATAATCAGTGGCCAAGTTGCTGATAAAAATTAAGATATTTATTCAGGAGCACAACTTAAGTCTTTGAAGCCAAGTATGAAATATCCCTGGCCTGAATAATATTTAAGACTTCCCAGCCCTAATATACTATGAATCTATTAATTTTCAAAGAATTAAAATCCAATATAAGAAAATACACATACTTTTAAAACCAGAGTGAGAATTGGATAAATCTTTGATTTAGAAAGCAGTGCACTGAATTTTCTAAGCCTCAGATCTAGGTGACAAAGATCAGATTTGGGAATTAAACTATATTGACTCCAGTGCATCTCTGTAAGTTCTTTTTGTGAGGAAAAAAAAATGATGGCATCCAGTTGATAAATAGGAATTCCTCTAAGCATAAAACTGTATCTTTAATATGTCTATATAAGCAAGAAAGCACAGGAAATATTCATGTTCAACATTTACATTCTGGGCTATGCCAATGGTGGCGTGGCATTAAGGAAGCAATATGTGCCTTCGAATGTCGAAGGTGTAGTTATTTGGATTTAAAGTGAATAAAATTAAAAGCAGTAAGAAATAAAAGGAATCTAAAAGAAGCGTGCATGTAAGTCTGGCTCATATTTTGGATTATATATGACATTTTTGGGGAACAGAGGCAAGAAAGGGAAAAAATACAAGAATCAATTTCAATTTTTAGAAAGTTAGAAGAAAAAAGCCCATTTTATACAACACATTTTAATTCTAGTTTTTTAGTTCTTATTGATGTCAGGCCACCTCTTACTGGATGTTTGGTTTCCTGTGCTGAGACTCAGAAAAATTATCTTGTGGTTAGAAAATAGCATATTTTGAAGATGGTTGACTGAAAAGAATTTTTTGACTTACTATTTTTTACAACAAATTTTACTTTAAAAAAAGAGTGAATTAATCAGATTGGAGATGAATTCTCTGTGGCAGAACTGTAAGTGGATATATTCAGTGTGCTTAAAAAAGAAAATGGATCATATCTTGAAAAGGATTTTATATATAAATAACTCACAGAAAGAAGATAAAGAAGAGTTTTAGATCTGCAAAAAACAACAACAAAAAAAAAAAAAAAGGAAAAATTAAAAATTCCTTGTGGGGAGGTGGATTTCATAAAGAGTAGTTAGATGAAAGTTTGTGCCCAAGTTCCATGAGAGCAAAGACTGAAGAACACAACAAAAGCAGCATTTTGGGAGAAAACTAATGCCAGGTAAACAAGTATTCAACTTGTTAAGACTTACATTAGAGTTCAGTAGAGTTGCAAGACCTGACCCTCAAGAAAAGAAATGCGTAAGCAGATATTGTAAAGACAAACTATGAAAAAAAGCAGTAAAGAAAAAAATGTGAACATTCTACTCAACTAGAGAGGCAGAAGAAAATAAAGAAGTAGGGTCTGGAAACATAGTGTTGCTTTCAATTACTCATGTTAGAAAGTTAAGAGTGATAAGGATCATATTCTCTTAAATGGGAAACAGTCAATAATCCAAAAAGTGAACGAAGAAGTACATTTCAGCCATTAAATCTGAAAAATTCCTCAAAAATGTGTTAAAAAAATGTACATTCGACAGGCTACCGCGCTGCCTGTAGTTTATTAAACTTAGATTAAAAAAACAAATTGTACATTATCTCTCTTTTTAAAGAGCCGTTGAAGCTACTAAAAAACTTTCTTTGCCTACTTTATTTTAACAGCGGATGGGAACGCGGGTGGGATCTCCAGGACCCCACCCCCCAACGAGCCCACGCGGCCCCGGGCAGCAGCACCCCGACTCCAGCGCCCAGGCCGGGGCCCCGGGGACAGGTGGGGCCCCCGCCAGGGCCGCGCCCCGAGAGTTCCTCGGTCACCTCCGGGCACAGCCAACCCCCGCACGCCCTCCGGGGCCCGGGCAGTCCCGGACCGGCCGCCGGCTGCCCCTCGCCGCCGGCCCCCGCCCCGCCCCGCCGTCCGCGCGGGTGGCCCTGCGGGGGCGACGCGAGCCCCGGGCCCCGGCGGCCCCGCTCCCCCGCGGCCCGTCCTCGGCCTCCGGGCCCGGCTCCCCCCGGCGGGCGGGCGGGCGGGCGGGCGCGCGGCGGGGCGGCCGCGGGGCTCGCAGCGGGCGCGGGCGCTTCCGGCGGGCCCCGGTCGCGCCGGGCCCCCGGGAGCGCAGGGGTCGGGGGGCCGCCCGCGGCTCGCACTTGCCTGGGACCTGGTGACCACTAACTGGTAATAGTCCTTGCTCGGCGCCCGGCCTTGTCCTACAATTTCGAACAGCGTCTCCGGCAGCCACGACGCCATCTTGGGACGCCACCGCCGTCGCCAAGACAACCAGGAAGGGGCGGGGCTTGCTGGGGGTCAGGGGGCCAGAGCCCTAGTTTAAATCGAACCCCGCTTCCGAGCCGGCCGGGGGTGGCTCGCTGGGGGTGTCGTCCCGTCTCCCGAGGGCCACAGGACGCCCCGCCCCGCGGAGGAGCCCCCCTGCCGGCCCCCGCGACCCGACGGGGAATCAGTTCCTGCTACCGCGGAGGGGCGGGGGTGACCCCGGCGGAGGGATACCCGGCGCCGCGGCCCCGTCCCCTTCCTGGTGCCCCGGCGGGGTCGGGGGGAGCGCGTCGGCCGCCGCGGGAGTCGCGCCGGGCGCGGGGGGCGGGCGGGCGCCGCGATGGGCCGCGAGTAGCCGCGGGGCCGGTCCTGCGGGCGCGCCGGCGGCCGGGCGGAAAGTAGTCCCGGGCGCGGCGGCGGAGGCGCACGCGCGTGCTGCGGCGCAGCTGATAATCGAGGCCGAGGCCGCGGCCGGGAGCCGGGAAGTTGCCGCCGCGCCGCCGAGTCCGGACCGGAGACTTTGGGGCCCAACTAGGTAACGGGGGCGCCGCGCCGGGCCGGGCCGGGCGGCGGGGGGGGCGGCCCGGGGCGCCGGCGTGTCGGCCCCGCGGCCTGGCCGGCCCCGCTCCGGGCCGCGGCGGCGTTGGGGCCGGGGCGCCGGGGCCGGCGGGCGAGGCGCTCGGGGCGGCCGCGGCCGGGGGGCCCGGGCCGGGCGGGAGCGGGGGGTCGCCGGGCCCCCCGGCCCCCGCGACGAGGCGGGCCCCTCACGCCCGCGGGGTGAGGCGCGCGGGTCTCGGGGCGCCGGCGGGGGTCGGGGGGCCGGAAGTGGGCCGGGGAGCTTGGAGGGCGTCTAGGAAGAGCGAAAGTGGGGGGCCGGAAGTGCAGGTGGGGGGTGTGAGGACGGCCAGGGTTCCCCGGAAATGGGAAGGGGGCCGGAAACCGGGAGCGGGAGGCCCGGGCGGCCGGCCCGGAAGCGGGAGCGGCGCGGGGGTGACAGCGGCGCGGCGCGGGGTCGGCGGGCGCGGCCGGGCCCGGGGCGCGGTGAGGGGCGCGGCGGGGGCGGTTGGGGCCGCCGGGGCCCCGGCGCGGCCGCGGGAAGTTGGGGCCGCGGCGGGCGGCGGGCGGCGGGCGCGGGGGAGGCCGCGGAACTTGGCCGCGGGAGCGCGGAGCATCCTCCGGGGTCGCCCCCCGGGGATGGGGGCGGGGCCGGGCGGGCGCTGTCACCCGGCGGCCGGCCGCGGAGCGGGGCGGGCGGTTATTTATACGCGGGTTACATAAAACCCGGGGCCGCGTCCCAGCCGCCCCCCGGGCCTCGCCGTCGCGAGGGGGGCCGCGGCCGGGCCGACTTGGGGGGGAGTTGGCGGCGCGGGGGCCCGGGGGAGGCGCGATCCCGCATTTGCCCGGGAGGGAAAAAGAAAGGATTTAAAAACACATGCCGGTGGGGAGGGGGCGGAGAACTTGCCCCTTTGAACTCCTGCCGGGGCGGGGAGGGCGCCGGAGCCGGGGGTGGCGGGCCCTGGACGCCGGGGCCGCTCCTGCGCCCCAGGACCGAGCGGTTGGCCTTGGCTGAGCCCCCTCGGTCAGGGGAGGCCGGCGGGGTCTGGTTGGGCGACTCGGTTGGGTAGCGGAGGGGGCGGCTGTGTCGGGGTGAACGTCGGGGGGGTGTGGGGTGGGAGCCTTCGGGGCGCAGGGGCCGTCGTGCGGGGACGTGTGGCTGTCCCCTGCCCTCTCCCCTCCTCGGCCTGCCTTCCCCGAGCTGCTTGGGGCGGCCCAATCACCAGATCCCCGGGCGCGGCTGGGTGGTGTAGGCCCCTTAGTGGTGTGTTTTAACTTTCTATTCCTCTTCGGCGGCGCTTTAGGTATATTTGGCATTTCGTCTTTGAAAGGCCCGGAAAGTTGGGGCCCCTGCCATCTCCTCACTAGAAACAAAACCAGAAAAATACGGGGTAGAAAGTTGAAAGAGCTATTGAGTGGGGTGAAAAACCGACGCTGGGAACAAAGGTCCTGGTTGTTGGAGGAAAAGGCCAGAGGCCTGTATGTGCGGCCTGTGTGTCGCGTTTACAGCCCGGGGGAGGGGGCAGTTGGGCTGCAGGAGTGGAGCTGTCAGAGGTTTGGGGACAATGACTCGCCGAGGGCTGCGTGGAGGCTTGTTTTCTTATTCACAAAACGCAAGGAGCTCTGTGTTGAGTGCATTTTAGAGTAAACCGAGATTTCTGATTTTCGTATTCCCTGCTCCATGTTCTGCCCTCGAAAGAGTGAACTAGTGTGGCTTTGCGAGGTGGTTTGGGGAGTTGCTTCATTGATTTTAAGCTGGAGACAGCACATTTACGTGGCGGGGCTTGTTGGCTTTGTCCACATCTGCCTTTCTATGGAAGCGCCAACATCCACAAGAATGGGAGGACTGTGATTAGGAAGATCGTTGTTTCCATTTGCTCCCCAGGTTTGCAGGAATCTGAGTGGTTTTTAAGCCTGCTCAGCTGACATTCAGTACTTAGTATGTGTCCTTGAGCAGGCTTTTTGTCTTAGCTTGCCATTTACTTTCTGAAAGTTAGAGAGCACGTTTGGCAGTTCCAGTTCCAAAAGGTGTTAAACTGCTAAAATAATTATACTTTAAAAATGAACAGGATGGAGGCCAGGGTAAAAATCAGTGCTTTCATTTAGTCAAGTAGTGTTTACTTCTCTATTTTTTTTTTTAAGATGACTATGTTATAGACAAGGTTTTATATTCCTGTTTTAAGGACATCATCTTAGCAAAGAAGACACTGCACAGGCCTGGGAATTTACAATTCGTCTGTGAACTTCAGCTGTTCACTTGCTCTGTCTGCACTCACCTTCATTTTACCTGTAAAATGGGGATGGGTAATCCTCATCTCACCTCTCTGGGAGGTTCTCACGCCTGGTTTTGTTGGGGCTATGAAAAACTACAAGCTGCTAAATAAATGGAAGATACTACAAGCTTTAGAAAATTACTTATAGCCATTTTGAGGTTCTGAAAAAAAATAGCATCTCAGCAAGTGGTGGTGGTAGTGGGTGACGGTGGTGGTAGTGGGGGGCAGGTGGTGATCGTGGGGGGTGTGATGTCAGGTAAGTTGAAGATAGAAAGTTGTATAGCACTTCATGGTTGGAAATTGGCTGCTGAATTGGTAGTAGAACTTGGGGCCATTTTCTACCTGTTAAAATTTTTTTTTCCTTCTGCCCGGCAGGTAATTTTTTCACAATACAGCCTATTGAATGCGGTTGTGAGTTTTGTTGGGAAACTTCAGACAAATTTCTTTTTTTCCAAAATTTGTTCCTATTCTGGTTTGTGGCTCTTATGAAATTGACTTTCTATTATCAGAGACAACAATTAAAGAAAAACATGACTGAATCTTGACCTGTTTTCTTTAGAGAATCCAGGGATTTTTTTTTTTTTTTTTAAGTTCTTTTAAGTGGATGGGTGGGGCGCTTTTTGAGCAAATGTGATACCAATTGCCCCCTTAATTTTTCCATTTGCTGAGGTCATTTGATGGATTCAAGTTGAAAAAGCCTGCTGTTGCCTTTCATCTTGACTCAGGTTCTTGCTAATGCCAGCCTGACATGCGCTTTTCCCTAAGTCCTATTAGATTCACTTCAAGTCACCCTTCATATCACTTCCTGAAAAACTTCTGAGATCTTTCCCTTTTATTTCTTGGTTTCTATATAGGATTCGTTTTTGAAGTATATGTTAAATCTTTTTGACATGTATTCCTTTTGTTTCTTCAGTGGGATTGCAGGCCTCCTGAAGGCAGGCATTTTCTAATACCTTCTGTGTTTTGCACGGAGGTGCACTCATAAACCTGATTGAACATAATATCCTTTCTCCTTCCCACTCTGAACCAGTATCTGCCTTCACTTGCTGAATATGCAACCGGTCTTCATCTTGGAAAGGTTGTTGGCCCCAGTAGATACTTCTGGATGCTGTTTGGTTTCATGATTGTGGCCTCTTCCTATTTCCCTGACTAATGTACCATCAGAGTCGTCTGATAGGGCACAAAAATGAGGATTTAATGGACATTATACATCCACCAGTTGTGTTTATAATCTTGCTGCTTATAGTTATTCACTTGTACCAATAGCTTGACATTTGGGTTTTTTTTTTTTTTTTTAAGTGTGTCCAGTTCAAATAGCAGTGTTACACATTTCTTGAAGGCATTAACTCCTAGCAATTGTTTTTTACATTCTCCACCTGCTCTGGTGGGTGACTCTTCACGTGGTCAGTGCTTGCTGTTGCTTGTGGTAAATGATAAGTAGAATGATGCCAAATTGATTTTTTTTTAAAAAGTAAATGGTACCGTAAGTTTCAGGTGTGCATCATTATTGTTGATTTTAAGTAAAATTTAACTTAGATAATATATTGGATTTTAAAAACTGTAGTCCTCTGCTTCTCATATCCTAACTTACTGCTTCTTTCAGGCTATTGGCAAAAAGAAGTAATTTCCTAGACGGCAAGAAATCTGTTTAATAGTTTTTTTTCTTTGAGGCCTTTTAGATTTTGGTCGTGGTTCTTGGAGTTTCATGAAGCTGAATTGGCCAGAAGAAAATGGAACTTCTCCATTATTCATACTTACCTGCTTTGTCTGGACTGTGCAGAGCTGTTGGTAATAGTTGTGCAGTTATACTTGCTGTAAGAAGTCACTCTCGTGGCCTAGAGTAGAAAAGCTGCCTGCTGCTTTGTACGTTTTCTTCAGGGAAGCAGTTCTGTTCAAGTGAGTAGCTGACTTGAAGGTAAAAGTCTTGGGTTCTAGTCCTGGCTCTCTGCCTTTTCCTGTCTTTGTGACCTTGGCCAATAATTTAACCTTTGAGTTTCAAGTACTGAGTCTGAAAGATGTGGTTATTACCACCTAACTAGAATCAGCTGGCACTTACATGCTGTCCACTGTAGTTAGGAGAGGAAGCCAGAAAGATGGGTTGGGGCACAGACCCTTCACCCAGTGTTTCTGCGCAGGGCTCATTGTTGCCTTCCTCCTTGATCACACTTCTAGTGTGTATTTAGGTGTCTTAATTGAAAATATTTTGGAAAATATTAATAGAATTCATTGAAAAATCCGTATGCGGCTGATTCCTTAGTCAATTATGAGTTCTTGAGCTCATAATTTCTCTTTTTTATCC